CTTTCTTTTTTTTTTCCTTTTTTTCTTTTTTTTTTTTTTTTTTTTCTTTCCTTTCTTTTCCTTTTTTTTTTTTTTTTTTTTGAGGGAAGACTTTCTCGGGGAAGATTCAGTTAGGGTTTGGTCTTGAAGAAGAAGTGAATCTTGGGGAATCAGAGCAGGGTGAAGGAAGCTGACTGAGAGGCAGCCCAGTCTCTCAGAACACTAAGCCCCTCTTTACTCACCTCTGCTTGAAGTTCCTTTGATCAGCACCCCAGAGACAACCACTAAATACTTTCTGGAGCCCAGGGATGTGCTCTTCCCATCACTCTTGCCCTTCTAGTTCTTTTATAACAGGTAACACCTAAATCCTTCCCTACACCTCAGCTCCTTCTCCAGCAGCTCCAGCACAGGCCTGCTGCTTCTATGGACTTTGTTCTTCCAGATAGCCTACTGGATTGTAAACATCATCTAGAAAGCCTCTTCAACCCACAATTCCTAATCTTTCATTCAGAGAGCACAGGCACAATTTTGTCATTGAGTACTGAATGTTTTCCTTGGCCTGCACTGTTGCTGTACCATAGGTCTACAGGTCACGGATGCCCAAGTCACATGCTTGCATTCAGTCTCTACAACAGCACCCAGATGCTAATAGGCAGGGCAAGTGTTATGAGTAATATTTTAGAAAAGGGAGGATTGAGTAGTAGGAAGCCTTGTGTGGGTCACACATACCACTTAGGGCAAAACACAGATCTCCTGATTCATGCTTTGGTACTTCTTTTCTGCCATGTGGTCCTGCCACCATCATCCCTCTTATAGGCAAGCCTGACTAAAGGGGCAGATCCAACTATTGTGCTCATATTTCAGATGAATTAAAAACTGGAGAACTGACATAACTTGCTCAAAGTTACATAAGTGGCAGAGATGGGGTTTGAACTCAGGACAGAATGAGTGCAAAACCTACTCTGATAACCATCATGTAATCTAGCCACGTTCAAAGGAAGGGATTTGTTCCTTTAAGGCAGAATATACACTCATTGATGGGAAACAAAATCTTGTGCTTTGTCTCAACGGAAGGAGGAACTTGGTCACAGAGGAGTGTTGAATAAGGAAATGAACAACCTTGTGAAAGAGTGAGTTTACATAGACACTCCACTATTAATGGAGTGTCTTTGTTGTTGGAGATGCTGCAGAATAGAGCCCTGCATTATGAAGAAAGTTGGAATAAGTCTTTCTAAGGATTCTTTTAGTCTTGGAATTCTTAACTTCTTTGAAATCAGTGCTGTATTTAGAAGTTCTTTTCAAGCATCCTTGAGCCGGGATATAGAAGGGTGGTCTTCACTTTCAGGACATTTCGTTAATGGTTGAAAGAGTTTTGGCAAGTCTTACAAATGCCATTTGTGCCACTGATGATACCCAGTGTGTCCTCTACTCCTATTCTCTGTCCTCCCTTTCTCCTTCTTCCCTTGGAGTCCCATCCAAGACTCAATCAAAACTGACACTTTCCCTCTGTTTCCCACTCTGAGTTTTCTAAAAACTCTTTTAGAAAAGAATAGAAAAGCAGCAAATTTGACTCTTTGTTTTGTCCTTAAAATTGGGCTACCTGAGCAATTGCTCATTTTTTTTTTTTTTTGTTTGTTTGGTTTAGAGTCTGATCTAAGGTGATTCTTAATCTCTGTGTTGCAGGATAATAGTTTCTAATATGTCAGCTCCGTCCTGCTGAGTGTTCCATCAACACCCTTAACCCAGTTATCTGCAAGGGCTTTGACCCCAGACAGGGAGTCTCAGATGGAAGCCAGGACATTGCTTCAGGACCGGCTATGAAAAATGCATGTAAGATAGAAAAATGTGAATTATGTGTGAAACAAACAAAAGCACCAGGCAACATGGAATTTGTGTCAACAAAAGCTTGCTGCAAGCTGTTGCTTGCTTCTAAGGGGGAAGTAGACTCTGGCGCCCAGGGAACAGTAGCAGGGAAGGACTTTTGCACAAGACGTGCAGAAACAAAAGGGGTGAACTGTTCTGGCTGTAATTGCTTTCAAGTTCTTAAGCTCTCCTCTCTCTTGCATTTGTTATGCAGCTGGGGAAGTTACTGATTACTGAGTCCGCCGGAGCCATGAGAATGGGAATAACTGACATTTATAACATTTTGACATACTCAAGAGAAGAGAAAAATAGTCCAAAGGGTGGGACCTCCAGTTGACTTTCTTGTTGACTATAAACCAACTCCATGACTGGATTACTTGAGTGAATAAGGGGATGGCAAGGTTCTCAGGGAGATTCATGCACTGGAATGTCTAGCTCATGTTCCAATTAAAATATTAAATCTGGTGATATTAAACTGCACAGACTTTTGCTGCCACCAACTGAAAATGTTATATGGACTAGTTTCCAAGCTAGCTACAGAAATCCAAAATTATCATTCCCTCACTGAGAGATATTTCTAGGCAAGAGACAACCAATATGCACATTTTTTAAAAAAGCAAATTATCTTCAGTTATTTAACATGATTACCCCGTTCCTCTCTGGACCACTGCTGGAGACCCAGGCATCCAAGTGCCATAGGCTGCTATGTCAAATATAATAAATAACATTCCAATTATGTTCTGGGGGGGTGCTGCACACAGCTCAAAGCTGGCTCACAGCCACCCTTGCTACCACCAGAACTGCCTTGCTAAGGTGTTCTGGGAGAAAAGAGCCCTGTGCAATCCAACTGGCAAGACTTTTGCATAAATACATCTCCCTTTACAAGGCTGATGAGATTTTGCGGCCTACAGGCTGTAGCCTCAACCCAAATCCATGACCACCGCACACAGTGATTCATGTGGGAGGTACCACTTCTTGCTCACACTTCTCCAAATGGCTCCTGGGGCTCATTGCAGCCTTTTAAAGAGAGACTGAGGGCGCTACTCTGCCAGGCCTGCCGAAACAAGGCACTCTAAAATAGAATTTGATGTCGTGGGTAGGGAATATTCAGTTTAATTCCAGGCCATTTAATTCAATACGTATTTACCAAGTGCCAGTTATACATCAGGTTCTGTGGACCTGCCTGTGGCCTGAGCTCATTGCCACTTTTTCTCATCCCCTAAATCTTGGTTTCTTCACTTATTAAATTCTTATGGATGACAATAGAGTGCCCTCAGGATTCCTAAAAGCGTAAATGAAAATGCGTGTGTGGTGTGCACCCAGCCCAGACCCCGATCCAAGGTGGGCATGCGGTGAACAGCAGTGTTCTCTTATCCTCCTCCCCTTTCTGAAAATGCTCAGAAACAGAAACCCATCAAGCCTCAGGTATCACTCCAGGTAGGAGCAGGAGATCTGTAGAGAGTGTCTCTGATGAAGATCTTCTTAGGGCTGTATTCCTACATGGAAACAGTTGGGTTATACTATCAACCTCATAGGGTTATAGGGAAATTGGGTGAAGCACTGTCTGAGGAATGCTTAATGCCTGTTTAGGGACACACAGATTTCCTGCAAAGCTGTTACTATGATCTATCTTTGTATCTTCTTGGCTTGAAACCTCTTGGATTTTGGAGGTCCAGTGGACCCTCTTTACCTCTGTCATGGCTTCTTGACTCCTTAGAGTTTGGATATGCCTTTATTCATTCCACAAACATTTACTGAACACCTGCCAGTTGCCAGATGCTTTGCTAAGCCCGTGGGTCACAAGGACAGATGGGATCACCAAAACTGGTCATACGAGCAGGATCCTTGACCTCTAAAATCTTATAATTGGTTGAGGAAGCCAGAAAAGCAAACACATCATTTCAATATGATGTAATAAATGCAGGGGCAGAGGTCACCATGGGGTGAAGCGGGAGCCCAGAGTATGGACCTGTACCCTGCTGTGGGGGTAGTGGAAGGGGTAACCAGCGACAGTTCCAGCAAGGACAGCTTAGGCAACTGCACATTGAAGGACAAATGTTTCTCCATTCTCAAGACCTTAAAAGTATGACTTACACCTGTGTCCTTGAAACATCAATGGGCTATAACTAGTGACCCAAAAGTCTAAATTCTGCCATCAGACTATGCTTGAAAGGCAGCACAGCAGGCTGGGAATTCTGGGGGTTTCATTTCATAGGAATAAACAGGACTCCCTTCCTCCCCTTGACCCCAGAGCAGCACTTTCTGAGCTCTTGTGTCTATACCCCAGGTTCTCCTCAGTTTTTTTTTTTTTTTTTTTTTTTTGCTGTAGGCCTCCCCTGTAGGACACCCCACACAGCTGGGTCCCCAGGGTGGCCTTGAAGAAAGCCTGGCCAGTGCAGGGACCAGGGAGCACACCCATAAATATACAGACAATGCTCACAGGAAGACTCGGAAGGGAAAGAACCCCAAGACTGTCCACCTCCCTAATGTCCCTGTGCTGCCACTTGAACCCATGGAGGGACCGAACAGCGTGGTGATGAGGACAAGAGAGTTTGTGATGAACTGGGTAGCAAGTGATAATCAAAGTTCTAGAAAGTCCATGGCCCTCCGTGTCTGGTTTCTGGTGTAGAAAATAATGCTCTGCAATACCAGTGTTGGCTTCTTCACTAATGCCTTTGACCACAGAGCAGGAAATCTTACTCGTCATTCCAGAAACATTTTTAAGAACCCTGACTGAGAAGCCTTATGCCTCCATCTCAGCCTGGGGCTGAGCTGGGACCCGGGCATGCCCTGTGTTGGATTTCCCCTGGCCGTTTCTTCTTACCGTGTTTTTCTCCAGTCCTTAACATCCCTGCTCATTTCCTATCCCATCTTATTCTACCCTAGGAAGCCCTGAAAGGGGCCCCAAATTTCATAAAAAGTCAAACTGCTAGCTCAGCTTCCAGGATTCCTGAAGAAGCAAATATTAGTTTCTTTTATAAGCACATGTTCACTTTTTAAAAAGACTTCATTTTTTTTAGAGCAGTTTTAAGGGTACAGCAAAATTGAGAGAGAGGTACAGAGATTTCCCACAGCCATCTGGGCATAGTCTCTACACATGCACCCCCTCTTCCCCATGCCCCCCACTGTGGTCATCATCCCACAGCACAGTGGTCCATTTGTCACACCCGTTGAACCTACATGGACGCGTCATAACTACCCAAAGCACAGAGTCCACATTACGGTTCGCTCTTTGTGTTACATGATCCATGAATTCGGACAAATGTATAATGACGTGCACCCACCATGTTAGTATCATACAGAGTGTTTCCATTGCCCTGAAAATCCTCTGGGCTCTGCCTAGTCATCCCTCCCCACAATCCCTGGCAACTGCTTACTGTCTCTATAGGTCTTTTCCAGAAGGTCATCTGGTTGGAATCATACAGTATGGAGCCCCTTCAGACTGGCTTCTTTCACTTAGACAATATGCATTTAAGTTTCTTTTTAATGTTTTCTCATGCTACATTCAGTTTTTAAATGTTTCATACATCGACGTTAGACCCCAGGAAGCTGGTCTCTGTCCACTTCAAGACATCAGGGACACTTGAGGTCATGAGAACACCCTGATCAGACCCGTGAGTCAGAACCTGGAGGTGAATGGGTGGGAAGAGGTTGGCTCAATCTCCATTTCACAGCTGAGAGATCTCCTCTCCCCGCTCTACTCGCTGCTGAAACTGGGTGCAAGGAGAGAGTAAATGAAGCTATTTCCTCCTGGAGGAGATTATTGAGTAATGGAAAGGGGTTATTCAGAAGGGCCCTCCTTCCAGTTTCCATTATTAATCATCATAAACAAAGGAGTAATAATGGGTGTAGCAAAAGCACAGCAATTTTAGGGCCAGTTTATTTGCGCACTGCGTTGAAAAATCGGGATAGCCCTTTAACGTCCAGTTCCCACTTGACGCCCCAAGAATGACGGTATATATGGCAGGGATGAGACCAGCGTTTCCATCTTCCCGGTGAGGAGCCCAAGCCTTCTGTGGCTGTGCGGCAGAGTGAGGGCCAGAAAGCTGGTGGGCACAGCTTTCAGTCTTCCAGTTCGGGTCCCTGACACCAAGCCTATTAAGGTTTCTAGCGTGTCACTGACCCAACTCACCTTCGTTGAGCAACTACTGTGCTGTGCATCCTGGCCTGGGGTGAGAGAGGGAGGGTCCCCGAGGGGGATGGTGAAACACACGCAAGTCCCTCAGGCAGGGAGACCCATGCGTGCTAGTCTGGCTATGGGGCTCAGAGGCAGCAGGGACTGCCTAGACTGGGGCTCAGGGTAGGCTTCAAAGGAGAGGTATCCCTTAACCTAGGCCCTGAGGATGGTCAGGCCCGAGGTGGAGATTAGGGGAGGGGTTACTACCTAGCAGGGTTTAAGGCATGTGCAGTACCACAGGGCAATCGTGACGCTACACGACGGGAGCACATTACCACGTTCAGACAGAAGCAGAGGAGTTCGAGGATACGCGGTCAGCAGGCTCTCACGTGAGTCCCATCAGTGCCCCTCCTTAACCTTCCCTGCTCTGTCTCTCGCTTGGGGTGCCCTAGGCCCCAGACATGGCACATTTGCCGCACCAGGGAAGGTGGCCCCGAGCGAGCGTGACAGGAACTGCTCCTCGCAGGCTGCTGGCAGGAGCCGCTCCCTCTTCAGCCCCTTAGGAGGAGTTCACGCGCCAGCGCCAGCTCCGGGGCCTCGGCGAGGCTGTGGGGGGCGGACCCCAGCTCCGCAGCAGCTCACGCAGGCCTTTCATCCGGCTGCTCCCACATGTGAAAGGACGCTGAACAGAGATGGTCGGAAGGCCTGGCTTGGGGTGGGGGAAGGGGGCCTTGAAATTCAAAGCCAAGGCCCTCGTAGGCTCTGCACCACGGCAGCTCATCAGTCCTCCCTCTTCTCAGCAGCGTGGGAGCCTGTGCGCTCCTGCTCTCCAGCCTGGCAGTGGCATCTGTTAGCAATGAGTAAAGATGGGGTGGCAGAGGCGGGCCTGGAAGTGGGGGCCTGAGGAAGGCCTACCGAAACCATGTGTGTGTGCTCACACACAGAAAACCACAGGCCTCCTGGAAGCAGGCACCTCGCGAGGACCCCCTCCGTCTTGACTTGGTCATCAGGAGCAGGTGATTGAAGGACGGAAGACTTAACTTCTCCATGGTGGGCCTCAGGGTCCTCATTTCTTCTACAGGAGGGGCTCAGGCAAGCAGAAATATCAGGGCCTTCCTGGGGCTGCTTTCCTGTGTCTAGCAGGGAGAGGCTCGCCAGGCTAACTCTGAGAGCGAGCTAGTTCTCACACAGGGCGGGGAGTGCTGTAGAACTCTCCAGTATCCTTGGCCCATGAGGAAGGAGGCTGGGTCCTCTCCGTTCTCCTGAAAGGTGAGGACACACTTTGGAAAGGCTCCCTCCTGCCCATCAAGTAGCATTCACTGCACCTAAGGCCTCGAGAACCTGATACCTGCTTTCCCATGATTCCCATCAAACTGTAGTAGTTCTTTCAAGGTCATGACCTCCAAGGAAACAAGGAGATAAGAAGAGTGCCAGGGAGGTCTCAAAGCCAGAACTCAGAGTGACTAGAGTATTTCTGGAAGGCTGGACAGGTACAGTGGTCTTCTACAGAGAGAGAAAAGCAGTTCAAATTTTTCTTTTTAGTTTTTCTTTTTAGCAAGTCATCCTCTAGGAAGTTATTTTGAGGAGCTGGAGGCTCCTTAAAAGTCCCTTAAGAACAGGAAATGGGAAAACACAGTGTCTTCCCCCATTCCTTCTTCCTTCCACGGGCCTGAGGGATAAGGGTCCTGGTGTGGCAGGGCTCATGGCTAGTGCTGAGACCTCTACCGGTTCCTACCAAGGAGGACAATCAACAAACCACCTCGCCTCGGACTCCCCATGCTCTCCTGCTCTGGTGACTCAGTGATGAGAGATTCTGGCCGGTATTTCTATTTTAAGATCCTCCATTGGCTTGGAGCAACAGGTAGGTTGGAGATAGGAGGAGAAGGAAGAGGAGTGATGTAAAATTAGAGAAAGGGTTTTGTGGTCCGGAAGTCTTCTATTCCTGAATAAGGGGCTCTACATTCCGGAGGTAGATTATACACAGGGGCTGAAATAGGACACAGGGTAGGTGTCCCTGGTGTAGAGGGAGGCCTATGAGGAGGGGCTGTGTTCACAACGCATTTGTGTCAACCTCCACTATGCATTCTATGCACAGCTAAGAGGTCATCTTTGGTGAGCAAGTCAGGTGTCTCGTACTCCCGTTATAAACTCTGCAAGCTGGGCCATCGCTGACCCACTGTGTGACCCTGGGAATTAGCCTCTGAGTCTCCCAAGTTTTTTGCATATCTGTAAATTGGGAATTCCACTGTCCAGACCCCTCAGCAGCCTTGGGGATTAATGAAAGCCTTGTTCACAAATGTCTTGGAATCCATAAAGGTTTAGATCGATAATTAACAAGAAAGAGAAGGCATAAACATTTCAAATATATATCAACTCCCAAATCTGTAACAGCCAATAAGTCTAAAAACTGAGTGGCCACAATTTCCCTCAGTGACAGGCAGCCCATGCACTTTCAAAAGTAATTCTACAATAAGCATAAATTACCACTTGGGGAAACCTTCCCTGTATGCCATGACTACAGATTTATTAAGTGAAAATGAAACCTTTAAATAAATATGTGGAACAAAAATGTATTTCCCAATCTAATCGGGCCACAGAGGCAAGAGTTTTTAAAGTGCTCTGTAGCCTGTAGAGTAGAAAGCTGAGTACATTTTCTTAGAAGTCACTTGGGCGAGTCGGTCACTGCCACACAATCTCCCTTCCTAACTGTGGAAACATCTAGGTCCTCCCAATCTCAGCCAAGGGCAGCAAGGGCGCACGAAGCCCCAAAGACCTTTCGCAACCCCTCAGGGAAACAGACAGATTCTGAGGCATCTTGATGCCCCGAGAAGATCATGATTTGGCATTCCACCGGATTCTGAACCAGCAGACGTCATCTATTCACCCTCCCAATGCCACGTTCCTGCCATGTTCCTGCCACGGTGTCCTCCCCTGAAGGGCGGAATAGTGCAGTTTGATTAGTCCTGTCGACTAAGTAATCCTTGCAGGAGACCAAGGGGGCCCAAAATATAAGGTGCGACAGATACATCATCACAAGGCTGGCCAGACCACAAATGCTTGGTGGCACTTCCTGTGGTATCAGTACCACTGGTCTCTCCAGCTGTCCTTCTGGTCCTTCCCTGTCCTGGAGCTTCCTGGCTCCGGGTCTGGGCCCTTGAATACATTCAGTCAATCCCAGTCATTGCCAGCCTTTTGACAAAGAAGGATGTGAAGACTCAGGCCTAAGCTAATCACCGTCTGGTGTTCCCTGTTAGCAAGAATTTGTTCCTAAGTGGGCAGGAAACATACTTTGAAGTAATGAGATGTAAGAGGACGTTTTCCAAGGGCTTTTGGTAAAATTTTCCTTGATCAAAAAACCCCCAAAAAACAAAAAACAAAACCACCTCCACCACCAAAAACACACAAAAAGACCCCAGGAAGAGATGTTCTCTTCCTTTGGCAGAAAGGAGGAAGGATTGCTGGTCGTAGGCATCTGTGCTAGCAAAGAGAACCAGCCTCAGGGTAAAACAGATCCTGCGGAAGGGAGAACAGGGATGAAGAAGAAAGAGGTTTTTGAAGACCCCAGAGAGGGACTAGGCTAATTCCTTTTTCCCTTAGGAAGTTCACATTCTAACATGAGTGTCGGGTACAGTAGTTGGGGTATCTCAGATTGTTGATGCTCCCAGCCTGTTCTTGGAGAGGGATGTCAGGGTTGGAAACAGTGTAGGTTGCATTATATTACTGGACACAATTGCTACAGTTAACGTACTTAATATTTACTCAAGCATTTTCCATTAATGTTCTTGAGAGATACTGACTTGTGATTTTATTTGTAATGTCTTTGTAGGTTTTGGGCTTAGGATCATGCTGGCAGTATAAAGTGATTTGGAAAGTATTTGTCTCCATGTATTTTTTCTTTAAAAGTTTGTATAAAATGTGTGTTATTTCTTCCTTAAATGTTTGATAGAATTCACCACTAAAAATATTTGGTATTTTATCATGTAAAGATTTTTGATTTAAAAAACCCAATTTCTTTATAAAGTGTTATTCAGATTATTTTATCTTGTGCCATTTTGGTAAGTTATATATGTTTTTAAAATGCATCCATTTCACCAAAAATGTTTAATTTGGTGGTATAAAGTTGGTCATCATATTATTTTATTATCCATTTCATATCTGTAGGGTCCACAGATATAACATCTTTCACTCACAATATTGTTAAGTTTTACTCTTCTTTATTCTTTTCTCAATATGATCAGTCAAAGTATTTCCCAGTTTTGTTGAATTTTTTTCCTTCAAGTAATTAAACTTGGGGTTTCGTAGTTTGGTATTTTTTCTTCTATGTTAAAGTTAATTGATTTGTTGCTTTTATCCATATTTGTATCTTCCTTTTACCTGGATTTACTTTGCTTCTGTTTCTAAGTTCTTTTTTTTTTTTTTAAGATTTTATTTATTAATTTGACAGACTGAGTGAAAAGCCTGACATGCGGCTCGATCCCAGGACCCTGAGATCATGACTTGAGCTGAGGGCAGAGGCTTAACCCACTGAGCCACCCAGGCGCCCCTGTTTCTAACTTCTTAGAGTAGAACCTTAAGTCATTGATTTTAGATCTTTCTTTAAATCTATCTGTAAACGTTAAAGCTGTATGTTTTCCTCTAAACACTGATTTAGCTGAATGCCAGTTTTAACATGTTGCATTTTGATTATCCTTGAGTTTAAAATATTTTGTTACTTTATTCTCCTTTTTTGACTAACATTATTTAAATATGTGCTGTTTACTTTCCAAGTAGTTGGACTCTTTAAAGATGTTTTATTCATAATGATTTCTAATTTAATTTTATTATGGTCAGAGAACATACTCGGCATGATTTCAAAACTTTTGAATTATGTAGGGTCTT